GTGCTCCTACGCTGGGTCTGTAAATGTTTACAAGAGTTATATCCTCTTGTTAGACTGATTCCTAATTATGAAATGTCTCTCATTATAGCCTTTCTTTTAAAGTCTATTTTGTCTGACATAAATATTGTATTGCTACCTAAGTTTTGTTGTTTCCATTTGAATGAAATATCTTTTTTGAGATCTTTACATTCAGTCTGTGTGTCTTTTAATTTTTGAAGTGGGTCTCATACACAGCATATGTATAGATGGGTTTTTTTTTTTTTATCCATTCAGCCACCCTATGTCTTTTGATTGGAGCATTTAGGCCATTTACATTTAAAGTAATTATTGATAGGTATGTAGTTATTGCCATTTTATTAATTAATTTTTGTTTGTTTTTGTAGTTCTCTTTTTAATTCTCTTGCTCTCTTGTATGTTGATGACTTTCTCTAACATCTTGTTTGGATTCCGTTCTCTTTCTTATATACCTACTATAGATTTTTGGATTGTGGTTACCATGTGCTTCATATATACCAAGCTATATTTATAGCAGTCTATCTTAAGTTGATAGTCACTGAAGTTCATATACATTCTAAAATAACTAACATTTTTACTTATACCCTCCATGTTTGTGTCATTTTTTAATTTTTTTGAGGTTTTGTATGTATCCCTTATTGTTGTAATTACACAGGATCTTTCTACTTTTGCCTTTTAACCTTTGCACTAGCTTTATAGTTGGTTAATCCACTGTTTTTACTGTTTTTTCCTGTCAGAATTTTCTTTCCTATATTCTTATTCATATTTTTACTTTTTCTTCTAAAATAAGTCCTTTAACAATTCTTATACTACTGGCTTAGTGGTAATGAACTCTTAGCTTTTTCTTGTCTGGGAGCTCTTTATATCTTCTTCATTTCTAAATGATAGCTTTGTTGGGTAATCTTGGTTGTAGATCTTTGCCTTTCATCTCTTTGAATAATTCAGTCACTTGTGGACTGCAAAGTTTCTGTTGAGAAATCAGCGGGTGATGTTATGGGAGCTCCATGTACATAACTGCTTTTCTCTTGCTGCTTTTAAGATTCTCCCTTTAACTGTTGGAATTTTAATTATGATTTGTCCTGGTGTGGGGCCTGTTTATCTTGTTTGAGACTCTGTGCTTCTTGGACTTACATATTTGTTTCCTTTGCCAGGTTAGGGAAGTTTCAGTCATTATTTCTTCAAATAGGAGACCAGAAGGAGAAGAGAGAGCAAGATATTGAAAACCTATGATGCGAATATTGATTGGTGTTTGATGCTGTCCCAGAGGTCCCTTAAACTATTCCCATTTTATAAAAAATGTTCTCTTTGCTGTTCCATTTGGGTGTTTTCTGCTACCTTGTATACCAGATCTCTGATTCAGTCCTCTGCTTCATCTAATCTGCTGCTGATTCCCTCTAATGTATTTTTAATTTCAGTTTTTGTGGTCTTTATTTCCGACTGGTTCTTTATGTTTCTCTTTGTTGAAGTTCTGAGTTCATCTATTCTTACTCTAAGGCCACTGAATATCCTTATAACCATTGTTTAGAACTCTGCAAAAGCTATATTGCTTGTCTCTATTTCATTTAGTTTTTTTTCTGGAGTATTGTCCTGTTCATTTGGGACATATTTGACTCCTCATTTTGGCTGACTCCTCATGTTTCTGTCAATGTATTAGGTAGCTCTGCTACATCTTCTGGTTTTGGCTTTATGTAGTAGGTGTCCTGTGGGGCCCAGTGGTGTAGTCTCCTGCTCACCTGAGCAGGTACTCCAGGGATATCTCTTGTGTGGGTGCCCTCCTGTGGTAGGTTAGCCTTGATTGTTGTTGGCATGTTAGTGGGTGGATTGACCCTCAGGCTGACTGGCTTGGAAGAGTGGCCATGACTACAATGGACAAGCCATTGTGTGGGGGTGCTGACCCCCATGGAATGAAAGTTGCTTTACTAGGGTTCTGGTGGCCGGCAAGTCAGCTGTTTGAATGTATTGTCTGTGAAGCTGGTTGGGTGGTACTCTGAAGCCAGCCACCAGGTATGTTCTGGGGCCTCTTGAGAGGGGCTCCGATGCAGGCCATGATCAGCTGTTGCCTGTGCACGGCCTGGGACTACCTGTGCTGGGCTTGGGGCCACTTAGCAAGAGGGACAGGGCACGCCGAGGGTAGCTATAGCTTATCTGGGATTCATGGACCTTTGAGAGGTTTTAGGAACATCTACAGCCCAAGTCCGCTTGTGTAGAAAAGCTGCTGAAAAGTTTGTTCCGGGTGTCCGAGTTGGGTGCAGTCCCAGGTAATCACCAGAGCAGGAAGAACAGTTTTATCCAGGTTAATGGAGAACTCTGATTTGGCAGAAAACTCAGCAAAGGAACAATGTTTGCCAGCACATCCAGCCCTCACCCTGAAGTTAGTCAATTTAGTTCCTCCCTGTTGCTTTTCACGTTCCTGCTCCTGTGCTAGAGCTCAGAGCAAGTGAGTCTCTGCTCAGGCCCCTTAAGACCCGCAGCGCCTAGTCCCTAGTGGCCCGTGTCTTTCTTGAACATGATTCCTACTTTTTTTGTGGCTAGATGTTATGGGCATTAGTTCCCCAGGCTGGGGAGCCTTGTGTGGCTGGCCTCTGTACCTGAGATATTCCTCCCAATTCTTAATTGCTACACTGTGGGTGTGGGACCTGCTTGTTTTGTATCTCTGTCCCTCTTATCAGTCTCTTTATATCCTTAGTTATAGGATCTGTTCCCATAGTCCTCAGGTGGTTCTATAGTTGTAATTTTGATGTGGGAGATAAGCACAATGTTTACCTACTCTGCCTTCTTGACTGGAAGTACATTACTCTTTCTTTTCCTGAAAATAGACTCATTACAAATTATTTTTCCATTGCCGCCCATAATCCTGATACTCTACCAAAGTTCCATTTGGCATAACTTATTCCATGTTTTACCATGGTTTAGGGAAACTACTTAAAATATTACAAACCTTGAAAGGACTGGTACCAAGTTCTATGGGGGACAATTTCAAATCAGTTGATCTCCTGGGTCAACCACTTAATCTTCCTTTGTTTTCAGGTTATGAACTTATGAAAATTCTTGTAGTCAGATATAGCAGAACCCTGTTTTTAAGTAATGGTAAGGAGTACCTGTTGGTAACTAATAAGTGATACTTACATGGTCCTGGGGTTGCCATCACCCAATCTTGTCACCAGTGTTTTGCAGTGAGAATCAGCCCTGGCCAAGGAAACCTTGAACACAAAGCCTGAGTGGGCCTGTTCTTTCCCTGCCAGACCTTGATACATCAGAAAAGCTATGAAGATGCAGTTACCTATCATGCTTCATGGAAACGAGACCATAAATGATGTTCTGTCAATGCTACTGCCTGTCTAGTTCTTTTTGATGTCTTTCTGAGAATCCTCATGGAATAACCATATGAGGTCAGTACTATTATCCTCCTTATTATTCTTTATAGATGAGGGAAGTAAGGCCCAGAGAAATTTGTAACCTGCCTGAGATCTGGGTTCAGATGTGAACAGCATTCTGACTCCTGAATCCACAGTCTCCAACCACAACACTATTCTGCTTCCTGTGAAATTTCTAGAAGAGGAGCCATTCAAAGGAAGACAAAGAAGAAACCCAGGAGAATGATCTTTCAGGGAAGACTGTTCCAAATGCATGCTTTTTTTCCTATCTTCATGACAATCCAAAGATGTTTAGAATGGCAGTGGTTCAAAATAATTTATATGATGTTTTGAGATGTGTGCGTAAAATTTAGGGACAAATTTTAGGGCCTCATCAGCATACATTATGAGAGTCAAAGTTCACAAAATGTTGAAGTTGGAATAACTTAAAATCAATTTACAGATGGGGAAACTGAGGCTAGAGACGTGAGGGAACTTAGCATTTGCCCAGTTGTCAGGGGGCATGGAATAGTCAGAGGTCCTGAAACCTGGCTGTACATTAGAAACACTGAAAAGCTTCTAAAAATATTCATGTCCAGGCAACACCAAAAACCAATTCAATCAATCTTTGGGGAAGCTGTGAGGTCCTGGAATTTTAGTTGAGAACCACTGGTACAAAGAAAGAAAAATGGACCATCATTCGAAGTTTTAAGCTCTGTACCTGGTTCTATCTTTAATTCCTAGTCTCACAGGCTTAATGAATGATTCCATTCATTATTTATATATCAAAATTATAAATGATCCAAATAGAGTGGCAATAAACTATAGCATCTCCACATGAATTTTATGCTGTTAAAAACAGAATTTCTAAAGACTTTGTAAAAAGATAGAATTATGTTTATCTAATGCTTAGTTCCAAAAGCAGGATACAAAATTCCATGTACGTATGGCAAAAGATGGAAAAGAAATACATCAAAAACTAACTGGAAAAGGCTATTATGATTCCAACTAGATGACATTCTAAAAAAGGCAAACCTATGGAGGAGAGAAAAATGTGGTTTCCAGGAGTTGGGGGAAAGGATATGTGGAACACAGGATTTTGGGGGCAGTGAAACTGTACTATATGATATTAAGATGGTAGATACACATTGTTGTACGTTCCCTGGTTTTGGAGAAATGTATAACAGCAAGAATGAACCTTAATGTAAACTATGGACTTTGGGTATCAATGTAGTTCACCAACTGTATGTAAATGTACCGCTCTGGTGTAGGATACTGTTAATGGGGAGGCCATGTGTGGGTTCAAGGGATATACGGGACCTCTGTACTTTCTGCTCAATTTTGTCATATATTTAAAGCTTGAAAGTTTTACAAAATAAACAATTAAAAAAATTTAACTGGCATCATCTTGGCCAGTGGTACTATAGGTGATTTATTTCTTCTTGCAATTAAAAATATGCTCCAAACCGAAAAGACAAACCTATTGAGGTCATCAGTTCAAGCTGAATGCCAACAAAAGATTGGGCATGTTCTATCTGATATACACTTGATAGTTTAAGTGGAAATATATTAGGCTTTAAAGTAGAAAGATCACACTATGCTCAGAAGATCAAAAAGAGCAGTTGTACTCACCATCCTTGCAGATGGCTCCCATTTGACACATTCCTAAGTCTAGGAGATACCCACTGGGGCAGCTCGTACAGTTCTTGAACCCTGGACCACTGCATGTCAAACAGCTAGCATCACATCTATGGGGAAAATGTACAATTTATCATCCTTTCACACATCAGGCATTGAAAAAGATGTTTGCTATCAACCTCTTAATAATCTTAAACTTATGTCTCTTTGTAGATGACACAAAAATCTTAAAATAATTGCTAGGGCTTGACATTAAAAAAAATCTAACAAGTAGATAATGTGATTTAAAAGGGAAGCAAGCATGTGTGTGAAAGAGATATATATTACTTTAAAGGTTTTAAAGTGTTCCTAAGGCAACAGAATAAAAATATCAAAGATAAGTTGAGTTAAAGCTCTAGGGCAGTGTCCATAGGTAAATGTTTGAACTTTATTTTATCATGAATAATTCTGTTTCATATTATTTATGAAGACAGTCAAATAAGGAACCCGGTAACTAATTTCTAGGGCTTGAGGGGTGGATCCACTTACTTTTTGCAGGATTTGTATCCATGCTCTGAAGAGTGGTCAAAGTAATAGCTGATACTACAGCTCTGCACACATCTCCCATCCTCCATGAAGTAGCCCTCTGTGCAATTAATGCATCCGTCAGCGCCTGCCCCTTAAAAACAAGACAAATGCAGGAAACAAAAACAACCTCAGAAGAGGTTGCATGATGGCTGCTTCCCACACAGTTTGTGAAAAGGCTACTAACATGCTGTAATTTTAAGAATTATAGTTTAATATTTATACTTTTTAAAAAATTCTTTGGGGAAAAAACACCCCCATTTTAAATTGCACCCATTTGCCAAAAACATCACATCATTTGGAAAGAGGAGCTTTCACCGGGGTATTTAAATTTCTCAATATTTAAATTTCTCAGTATAGGATGCTGAGGGCTGACTTTTGATGAGAATACATACATGATTATTGGAAGAGAAATATGCTTTTCTAGCATTTACTTTAAAAATATTAAGTGGGTTTGCAGGAGCGATGGCTAAGAACAAATAAACCAGAGCCAGAAGAATAAATGAAAGGACTGGGGGAGAAGGTACCAGCACAAGTGGCGCAGAAGCGGTGGCAGGGCTGACAGTCCTGGCCGTTGAAGTACTGTCCATCCTCACAGGCGATGGAACACCGGGATCCCTGCAGGCTGAAGACATAGACAGACTTCTGTGATCAAGGCAAAGAGGTAATGACTCCCCAGCTCCATATGTAACAAATATAGTTCCCCTCGGAGACCTGTAGATTTGGCAAAGCTTCAAAGCAGGGGAAATAGCCCTTGTACCCTTTTATTTTTCTTTCCTCTTGATGCCTACAATGCTTCTCTGTGCCTTATAATGTCTGTAGCAGATACACGTGCTGTAAGCTTTGGGGACATTCTTTTGAATTGTTAAACTGGCTGATACATCTTACACCCTGGAGGTTTTAATAAGTATTTTATTGACAAAACAATCACATTACCTAATAATATGCCTAACAATTCCCTGATATCTAGACCTACTACATAATAAATTTGAAAATTGTTTCATAATTATAAATGTCGTAGGAACACATGGTAAATGAATTATAATTCAATAACAGGGCACAACTTTCTCTGCCTAAACTCCCAAGAGTAGTTTTTTCTTTTTTTTTTTTTAAGAGTTTCTGATTTTATTTTTTGGTTCCCACAACAGAATTCTAATATACTTTTGCCTATGTCTCTCGGTTTAAACTCTGATGAATAATTTAGCACAATTGCCTACTTACACTGCTGCTTCCCCAAACATCTCAACTTTTGTGAATTATGTTACTATTTAGTGTTTCTGGGCATTATCTGTACCATATTTTCTCTAGCTACCACTCAGTACTGAATGAGTTGCTAGAATGTCGAGTGAGAATTGTATATTTTTTTCATGTTCTTAATTTTTATCAGCTATAGTATTTCTCATAGTCTACTTATTCTTAAAATTCAAAACAAATTATAGAATTCACAATATTTAATATAGAGTTATTACTCATTGAATAACTAAGTAGTATAACTTCAACAAAGGAGGAGGATGTAATCCTATGTCAAGTTACCAAATAGATGATATGAAGATGGGTATCTAAGCAATAGAGTCATATGGGTTCTAGTATCTTAAACTCTTTATATTGTTCCAATTCACATCTCATTTGACTTTTCTCTGTATATGAATCATACTGATTTTACAAAATAAAATTTACTTCAGTAAAGAAATCGGGAAAGATTAAAACCAAAGTAGATAAAAAAGAATCCCAAAGAGTCCTGTTATTTGAATCCATTTCCTTCCAGTATTTTATGCATAGATATCTTTCCGTGTTTGTTCTTAATCACTATTTAAAAATTTACTGGCCTCTTGAGGCAAAAATGGTCAACTCTAGAAACCCATAACGAAAATATCGGGACAGTCAAAGAGTGAGTGAGGGCAGCATAATGAAAATTGTACTCCATTCTTAGATATATCCTCCCTGGCAAGAGAGAACTGTCATTTCAAAAGAAAATCCCTTCCCTTCTGGAGAACTTGAAAACAAGGACATTGCATTAAATGGATCCTTTTGTGGGAGGAAATAGGACCACTGAAAAACTTATCAAAGTTTTTAAAAAGCTGCCTAGGTTTTCTAATAAACCTAGATTACTT